TTCCACGGTTTCATGGGCTGCACTCTCTGGGTTTCAAAGTCACCCTGGCTGGGGGAGAAGACTGTGGCCGTACAGGGGGATGCCAAGGCCAAGCGAGGGTGTGGCCTTCTCTGACCACTGTCCTGGGTGATCCGAAGGGGGCAGCATCCCCGGGGCCTCGAGGGCTCTGCCCGAGCCTCCCCCACCCACCCACTGCACCACCTCATGCTGCCCTCTTGACCCAGAGGAGCCCTGTCCTTTGGCCCAGAGCCCACCCCATGGCATGCTCCCAAGGAGCTTCCGAAAGTGAGCACACGCGTCCACAAGGAAAATAAATGCGGCCTTTGCCACTGTTTGGTTTGAATGTGGGTCTAGAACAGAAACGAGATTTGTACTTGAGAAGGCCTTCCACCCCAGCAGAGGCTGGGCAAACAGCAGGCAGACAGACGGTGAACACCCGGGAAGGCCGGAGCCCGGGGACCCGCGGCCCCCGAGCGGCACTTTACGGCGGCCTTCCTGTTTTCCTGGGGCCTCTCTCCACACGGCTCGCTCACACACTGAGTCTTTTCAATGCCCTCCAGGAGAAGAGAAGAATCCATTTGCGCACGCCAGCACGCACGTTTCTCCCACCCTCCCCGGGGGTGGCCCCTGCCAGGAGGCTTGTTTATGACATACAGGGACAGCTGGGGACGGGGCCCATGGGGTGGGGTCCTCAGAAAAGCTGAGAGCTGAATCCTACGCTCCCAGATCCCCCAGACCAGAAGTGAGAGTGGGGCCCAGCGAACTGGAAGGTGAGGGACGTTTGTGGTGTTTCCGGGGCAATGCTCTGAAGCCTCATGGGAAGCGGGGGTGCAGTGTGGGCTATGGAGGGCCTGGGAAGGGCAGTGCGGCTCACCTTGAAGGATCAGAATGGCGTCAGAGAGAAGTGGAGAGGAGGTGTGCGCTGTGTATTTGGAACCAGACTTAGTGAGCATAAAAGGAAACTGAGGCACCCACGTCCCTGGTGAGGACCAGGAGAAGAGAGACAGCTCTAGGGGCCAGCTGCACGGACCCTTTCCCAGGCCTCTAGCTAGAAAGAACATGCTGGGGCTTTTTTGGAGGAGAGGGGGTTCATTTTTCTGTCTACACCCATTGTCATTTCTGGGTTGTGAGCTTCCCCAGCACCCAGTCCTTGGGAATAAGGAAGGCAGAAAAGAGAACCCAGGAGCTCACTGTCAGGTCATTCTTCACATCCCCGGATCTCCAGTCAGTCTGCCTTCTGGTCTCCCCTTTTCAGAATTTTCCTATATTTGTTTCACACGTAACGTCCAGAGCTTTTGCTTGTGCTTGGTGGGAGAGGACAATGCATCTGTTTCACTGTGTTTGGAACCAGAAGTCCTATATTTCATACTTTTATGTTTCATATTTTTAAGCAACACATGAATCAAAGATAGAGAATACTCAGGTTTCTTTAACCTGTATAGCAGTTATAAGAATGCCCTTTATATGGCTTTCAATACTTTTCCATTTATTGGAAACTCTGTGTAAGTTCAGCGTTACACTCCTTCATCCTTTCCTTTGCTCGTTCATCCACCCAGCAGCCTGCTGTGCGCCTCCAGGCACAGGTACATAGTAGAGAATTTAGAAGATCCTTCCCAAAGAGCCTTTTCCACCTGGGGTGTGCAGACAGCACAGCTAAGGCAGGGTACTCCCACAGAAGAGGAGAGTGTGCTCTGAAACACCCTGGCCAGGGGGTGGATTTAAGTTCTCTGAGGAAGACATGAGTAGACACTTTTCCAAAGAAGACATCCAGATGGCTAACAGACACATGAAAAGATGTTCAACATCGCTCATCATCAGGGAAATACAAATCAAAACCATATTGAGATACCACCTCACGTCGGTCAGAGTGGCTAAAATTAACAACTCGGGAAACAACAGATGCTGGTGAGGATGTGGAGAAAGGGGAACCCTCTTGCACTGCTGGTGGGAATGCAAACTGGTGCAGCCACTCTGGAAAACAGTGTGAAGGTTCCTCAAAAAAATTAAAAATAGAACTACCCTACGACCCAGCAACAGCACTACTAGGAATTTATCTGAAGGATACAGGAGTGGTGTTATGAAGGGGCACATGCACCCCAATGTTTACAGCAGGGCTCTCAACAGTAGCCAAATTATGGAAAGAGCCCAAATGTCCATCAACTGATGAATGGATAAAGAAGATGTGGTTTATATACACAATGGAATTCTACTCAGTGAGGAAAAAGAATGAACTCTTGCCATTTGCAACAAGGTAGATGGAACTAGATGGTACGACGCTGAGTGAAATAAGTGAGTCAGAAAAAGACAGATATCGTATGTTTTCACTCATAGGTGGGATTTGAGAAACTTAACAGAAGACCATAGGGGAAGGGAAGGAAAAATAAGTTGCAAACAGAGAGGGAGGCAAAATATAACAGACTCTTGAATACAGAGAACAAACTGAGGGTTGGTGGGGGGGGGGCAGGAATGGGAGACGGGCACTGAGGAGGGCTCTTGTTGGGATGAGCACTGGGTGTTGTATGTAAGTGATGGATCATGGGAATCTACTCTTGAAGCTAAGACTCCACTGTATAGACTCTATGTTAGCTAACATGACACTAAATTATTTTTTTTATTTAATTTAATTTAATTTAATTAATTCTCTCAGGAAGTGGTCTTGGGGCCTGACTGTGCCCCACAGGGCATTCCCAAGACCACCAGAGCCTGTGGGCCAGGCTTCCCAAGAACAAGCTTGCAGGCAAGGCCCCTCCCAAATAAGCCTGGCTCTCACACAAGGACCCCACCTCTCTGCACAGCTCTCTACTTTGAGGGGAGGGGTTCTTACCTTCTATTTCAAGCTCTCGCCTCCAAATCAACACCCCAGAAACGTCTCTTGCATCAGGCCCTTTGGCTATAAGCATAAGCGGGAGCCGCTCCCTGGGCCCACTGAGGAGAACTGGGCTTAGCACCCAGGAAAGACATTCTGGTCTCCTGTGAACTTGCTCACCCTGGACAGGAGAGGGCTTGTCTACCCAAGGGTATACGACAGCCATGGCAACTGAGGTTTCCACCCCTAGGCCCTATTCTCTCCTAGCATAAATTAGCATGAAGAACAAAATGGCCCTGGGGAAGTAATGCGCCAACTCCAGATAGGCCCTTCCTGTCTTCTCTCTGAAAGCTACTTGGAGTTTAACTGGCAAAACTCTCCTAGCCCTAGGAGATGTGCCCTTCTTCTCTCCCACCCTGCCCTATGTGCCCCAAAGGGTGAATATCAAGGGTGCACATAGCACCCCCAGCACAGGAGGGACCCAGCAGAGTGGTGGCTGCTGGGACTCGCAGAAAGAAAGTAGGGCCCCTGAGGAGGGCTCCAGTAAAGCCCTTTACACATGGTCTCATTTGACTGGGTTCATGATCGCTTCTTTCACCTGAGGAGACAGAGGCTGAGTAAGATTAAGTAACTCATCAGGGGGCCAGTAGAGAGGGTGAGATTTGAATCCAAGTCTGTCTGGACCCAGAGACTCTGATCCTTTAGGCCAGCTCCACTCACCCAAGCACACCACGGGGGATCTGAGGTGTTAAGGTGAAAGGCGGATCTTGAGGACACTTCCCCATGCTTTAGTGCCCTACCTTCTTCACCTGCTCACATCTGCCTTCATCGGGTACAGGTGGCTTCCTTTCATTTCATAAACACTAACTAAGCTAGCTCCTCCCTCCATGGTGGGCATGTGGAGCACACAGAAGAAACAGTTGTCATCTGCTGTCACAGCAATGCAGAAGAATCTGGAGGGTGGCCCAAGCAGCCAGGACTGAGCAGCCCTGGGATGCCATGAAAGTCCCGCCTGGCCTGGGAAACTGGTGGACTCCAGGCCACATGGAAAAGCCATTCAGAAAAGCTAAGTGGTTGTGAGTGGCCTCATATTTCATGGCAGGCACTGGGCAGTTGACCCACAGCCCTGGACAGATGTCCTAAGAGCGGCGAGGCACAGAGAGTTCTGGGTGACAGGGCCCTCCTCTATCCAGCACTCAATGGATCCGAGTCTAAGAAAAAGTGGTTAGCACGTCTACGACCTCCAACCGTCAGGAGCAGATAAGAGGCCTTCATGCAGCAGGGGAGGGTGTACACGGGCACACAGGGGAGAAGGGCCAGGGCCCCCACCAGTATGGAGGACACCCCCCCCATGTTCACCCCCTCCATGGGAGCCCTGTGTCCTCATTCGGTGAGTCTGGCTGTGCCAGCCCCTCAAGAAACAAGGCCACTCTGCTGTTGGAGGTGCTTTGCTGTGTGGGTGCTGGATAAAGAGTTCTGGGATGTTCCACTGAACAGAGTGGCCCCTCAGTGAGCACACTGGCATCCTTGGCAAGAGGAAAGGGAACCTAAACATTCGCCTCACCTTCAATTCCCAAGGCTTGCTTGCCGAGGGCAAAGTCCATGGTCTCCGGGAAAGAAGGACGGAAAGCTATGTGTGGGGGCTCGGTGCCAGGCCTGGCCCACCTCCACCACCCTCCTACAAACTATGCAACTTTGGGCCAGTTATAGAACCTCAGTTTCCCTACCCAAGACCTGGAGTAAAAATACCAGGACTTGCAGGGTGCCTGGGTAGCTCGGTTGGTTGGGTGTCCAATTCTTGATTTTAGTTCAGGTCATGATATCACTGTTCATGGGATTGAGCCTAGCCTCGGGCTCTGGGCTGACAGCATGGAGCCGGCTTGGGATTCTCTCACTCTGTCTCTCTCCTCCCTACCCCCCTCTCAAAATAAATAAATAAGCTTAAAAAACAGCAGTACTTGCCTCCAAGGGTAATTGGGAGATAATCCTGCCCAGCACATACCCAAGAGTCAATGAATGTTAGTTTCATCTTTACGTCAATTAGCAAGGACGTCAGCCTGGAGTCCTCTCTGGAATCACTTTACCGCATTAATTGGTTCATATTTGACTCACTATCCAAATAGTTTGGCTGTAAATGGGTTCCTTGCTCCCCTCCCAGCCCCTTCCCATGCCTCCTCCAGGCAGGACAGCTTACCTATGGTCCTTCGGAGGTCTTCACACTGGCTAATGTGAGGAAACTTCAGGATTTCCTTCCACTTCTTGCTTTTCCCCTTGCGCTTTCCTCCACCCCCTGCAGAAATGTGGGAAAAAGATGTCGGGCTGATGTTGGTCTTGTCCAAGGCTCCAGAGCCTGTTTCCCATCCCAGTGAGCCTGTCCACCAGCTCCAGGGGCTGGGAGACAGCCAGAGGGCTCAAGGTCAAGTCAGTGACACACCCCAAGCCCCACCAGGCACACACACACTCCCTCCCGGCCAGCATCAAGCCTGTGTTCTCCCCACACGGTCGGGCCTGGGCCCCTCAGCCAGCAGGAGCAGACAAGCCCCTCCAGGCAGCCATGCCTGAACCCACACCAGTTGCCCTGTTCTTCTTCAAATCTCCCACTGCTCTTCAGGCCCCCTGGGTGCCCAGTCTCTGGCGCCAGACTAGACCCCAACCTTCCCACAGCAGGGGCCAGGCCGGCTGGACTTAATACTGCCTTCGGGCCCGGGAAGTCCTCGTGGAAAGGATCCACAAGTGAGTGGACTGCAGCCGCCTCCCCGCCTCCCTCCGTCCTACTGTTTCCTGTGGAGAGGCCCGCTCCCCAACTGGAAGCCAGACATCGGGAACAAGGACTTCAATTTCCACTTGTCCTGTGTCCCCCTTCTTCTCCCTCCCCCACAAACCCCAGGGCCTCGGAGCATGCGTTCTCAAGGCTGGAGGGACTCCTGAGGGGCCCCATCCTGCCTCACATCCTCCTCAGTGTACATGTGTGGTGAACACGCACGTGCCAGGGACACGCACATGTGATGGACATGCACGCATGATGAGCACACGTGCAATGAATCTGCACCCGGGATGAACATACGGACACAACGAACACGTACACTTATGAACATGCAATAAACATGCGGAGCTCAGTAAGGCACACAATCAGGGCTTCCCTCTCCCCCCCCCCCACTTCTCTTATCCATGGGACAGTGGACAGATGTCCGAACGCTCAGGTGTGCAAACAGCAAGGAGAGGCCCCAACTCTGGCCTGTGTCCCTGAGCCCACCAGCGTTGAGCCTCAGGGCTGGAGGCCTGTCTGTGTCTCGTGGCCAGGGCCCTCCAAGGACTGAGATGCCATTACCCACCCCCCCCACCCCGAGAGTGGCCTTAGATACCATCTCCCTAAAGGTTATGTAGTCCTTTAGGCCTCTCATATATATTTGGGATATTGAGGGCCTCTTACCTTCCTCCATGCAATCAACACCCCAACACCTGTGGAGTTTGGAGCCCAGTTAGAGACGCAGTATCTGGGGTAGGGCCTCAGCACCCTGGGCCTGCTGCTTGGTCTGGGTCGGGTGTGCAGCACCTCCAGGCTCTAACCCTTCCAGACCAGGCCTGGGCCCCCTCTCCAACCAGCAAACCAAGGGATACCAGAGGAGGAGCTTAGCTTGTGCCCACCCAGGGCCGGTGTGTGCCCCGGGCCGGGAAGGACGCTGTTCTCAAGGAGTAAGGATCCCCAGCTATCAGCCCTGCTGCTCTGGAAAGCTGAGGGTGGGTCCCCCATTAGCAAGCGGGTTGGCTTCTGAGGCTGGGACCAGGACCCCCAGGGAAATAGGAGACGGAGCTGGTGGGGGTAGGAGTCCCTGCAGAAGGCAAAGGCCTCACACTCCACAGGGCAGAACGAGTGTGCATTGGGCATTTGCTGTGGCCAGGCACCATTTGAACATTATTTTGTTTAATCCCCAGAATGACTCTTTGAGGAAGAGATCACCATGACCAACGTCACAGATGAAGAAACAAAAGTCCAAGGTTGAGCAACTCGCCAGCTGATGACCCGTCTGACTCCACACTTGCCCTTTCCTCTAGTCAGGGTCAACACACATGTGCGCACACTGCAGACTCCTTCCCCGGGCCCTTCCCTGGGCTCTCTGCAGTCCTTACTCTAAATCTATAAGGCAGAAAACTACTACTGTTTCCCCCTGACAAATAAGGAGACGGAGGCATAGGGATGAAAGAAGCAAGTGGCCTTCTTTAATGGCTTATTAATAGCAGAGCCAAGGCCCCAACCTGAGTGGACTCTGGACCCTAGGCACTCACCCTCACTTTTCTGTCTGTAAACCTCCCTTTGGGGTGCATTGAAATACAGGGAAATTCTCAGGGATAAAAAAATTGCTGGAGTCAGACCACAGAAGTGATGAAGCATTGAGCAAGAGGAGCAGGAATGGGGATCGATCTCTCTAGCTGGGGCCCAAGCTTGCAAGCTCTGAGAAAAGACGTTACCCCAGACACCTGTAGATTTGTTCTGCTTGACCCACACGTGGCTTGTTTGTTTGTTTGCCTGTTCACTGAACCAGCTGTTTTCAAACCATGAGGAGACTTTACATGCAAATCCAGATTTCGGATTTCTCTCCATAACCAAGCATCCCACATGGCAAGAATAGGCTAGAATTGGGGACCAGCTGCTCCCATGGACAGGCTGTGTGGCCTCCATGCAGGCAGACTGTTCAGCCTCTGTAGGGATTAAGATGTGCCTCCCTAGAAAAGGGCCACCCTCTGGGGACATCAGCAAAGTCAGATGCTCCCGTCTCAGCCCCACCAGGTTGGAAAGTCAAAAGAAGCCATCAGAACCCATTTAAGTCCTTGTCCTTTCCTATTCTTGCACTATCTGCTCCAGATCTGGCTGGCAGGAAGCACATTTGCGTGTGTGTGTGATAAAATATATACAACATGAAATCTGCCATCGTAACCATGATTAGGTGTACAGCCCAGTGGCGTTGATACACTCACATTGTTACGCGACCACTGCCACCACCCATCTCTAGAACTCTTTCATCACCCCAAACTGGAACTCTGTACCTATTAAACACTAGCTCCCTCCTCCCCCCAGCCCCTTGCAGCCGCCATTCTGCTTTCCGTCTCTGAATTTCACTCCTCTAGTGAAATCATACACTATGTCCATTTGTGACCGGCTCATTGCACTCAGCATAACGTCCTCAGGGTTCGTTCATGTTGCAGCATGTGTCAGATCTCATTCCGTTTTTAAGACCGAATAATATTCCACTGTGTGTAGCATCACATTTGGTTTATCTATTCATCTATTTTAAAAATTTTTTTAACATTTATTCATTTTTGAGAGACAGAGCATGAGTGGGGGCAGGGCAGAGAGAGAGGGAGACAAAGAATTGGAAGCAGGCTCCAGGCTCTGAGCTGTCAGCACAGAGCCTGATGTGGGGCTCGAACCCATGAACTCTGAGATCATGACCTGAGCCGAAGTTGGACGTTTAACGGACTGAGCCACCCATGCACCGCTATGCATTCATCTACTGATGGACACTTGGGTTGTTTCCACCACTTGGCTTTTGTGATCAGTGCTGCTATGGATATCTGAGTCCCTGCTTTCAACTGTTTGGGGTATAGGCCCAGGAGTAGAATGACTCAATTATATGGTAGTTCCACCTTTCTGCAGAACAGATGAAGTTTTCTTGACAGTACAGACTACCAGGCTATACTGCAACAGGCTGTCTTCCAACTCTCTGTGATCAAACCCCAGGGATATGACTTCTGGAAAGGCCCACCCCATCCCCCAGATGATTCTCAGGTGGCCAGTCTACAGAAACCAGGAGCCTATTTTACATGCATATACCTGTGTGTGTGCATGGTTCTTATGGGTTAATTGAATCATTAGGAAAATTAACCCAGACCCATTAATTCACTCAACCAACATATGCTGAGCATCTACTAGAAGGAGCTGGGGCGAGAGACACAGGGTGTCACCATCTTGGGGCTTCCAATGTAGCAAGGAAGACAGACATCAAAGGCTTTATTTCAGTGGCTCAACACTGCATGATTTATCCTCTGGGGGACAACTGGCAATGTCTAGAGATATTTTTGATCATCGCAGCCAGGGCAGGGGTGTCACTGGCATCAGGTAGGCAGAGGCCAGGAATGCGGTTGAGCACTGTAAATGCATGAGATAGCCCCCCGCAACAGAGCGATCATGTCAATGGTGCTGAAGTGGAGAAACGCTGCTTTATTTAACGAGCATTTGGACCAACACTCAGGAGTGCAGGGTTTGGGGGAGACGTAAGTAACGGTGCAAAGTGTCGGTGAAGCTGGAGTTAGGAAGGGAGGGGTTACCACACAGCCACCCAGGGGGCCACCCCAGCCAAGGGGCAGACTTCCTGGCCCATGCTGAGCTCCTTTCCTCCTACACCTTAGCTCCTCAGCCCCCAGAACAGGGCAGGGACTGTGGGAGGCAGAACAATGCTCCCCAAAGTGCCCATGTCCTACATCCTGGCACCTGAACGTGTTAGGCTATATGACAAAGGGGAATGAATACTACAGATAGAATTAAGGATAACGGCAGGAACATTATCCCAGATGGTCTCGGGGGGCCCAATGTAACAGTTAGAGTCCTTACATGTGGAAGAGGGGGCAGAAGAGTCAGTTTAGAGTCATGCCGTGTGAGGAAGACCAGACAGCCACCACTAGCTTTGAAGACGGACAGGGCCACAAGAAGGCAGGCGGCCTGTAGAAACCACAAAAGGCAAGCAAAGAGCTTCTCCCTGGGAGCCTCCAGAAAGAACGGAGCCCTGCCCACAGCCTAGTTTTACCCCAGTGAGACCCATGTCAGATGTCTGACCTCCTGAAATGTAACTGAATAATTTATGTTCACATCCACTGGGTTTGCGGTATTTGTTACAGCAGCGAAAGGAAACTAATCCAGGGATGCCCTCTGCAGGGTATCCCCCTAAATGGCCACAGGGATCCTGAATGTCCTCCCCACTCACCTGGCCTCCAGTTCCTTAGAAAGTCCCATGACATACACCCTGCCCCTCCATGACTCAGACGGGCTGGGGCAAGATTTCGTGTCTTGACGACCAAAACTCGCCTCGAAGCAGTCGCCACTCCAGACAAATATTTAACTCTTATGTGTGCTGCTGGGTTATTAGATTACGTATTTGGTGACTGAAGTGTCAATACTCTCATTATTTCAGTTGGACCTGACTGTCGCTCAGGACCCTGCAGGGGTGAGGCCCAACACCCTGCTGCAGAAGTTCCTTGTGTGTCCTGGCCCTGTGGCCCCAGCCGCCCCAGGGCCAC